TGCTGAGAGCCAGACTCCAACTTAACCTCCACCTCAGCCCTCCCGCCATTTCTCTCTTGAGTGCATACCAGGGTCATGCTACTGTGTTGGGTCATGCTACTATAGAAGTATATAAGCTTTGTAACCATATCCTGCTTGGCAAGCCCACTTGCTATTATGAATACCCCCCCTTGATTGATTGTATGGCAAGTACTGAATACCCCCCTTGGTAACCAGCAATCATGGGAACCGCTTGTGTATACCCTTTTTAGTTAATCAACAATCATGGGAGCCTCCTGCCTCCTAGTTACCAGCTTCCTTATCTAACTTGCTTGTTCTGCTTCTGTAAAATTCTGCTTCAGCTAGACTCCCCCTCCCCTCTCTTAAGCATGGTATAAAAAGGAATCCAGCCCCTTCCTTGGGGTCGAGAGATTTTTGAGTGTGAGCTGACTCTCGGTTGCTGACAGTAAAGGACTCGTGATTCGAACTTAGAGTGTGGTGCTTTCTCTGACACACAGGTTACAACAGTCAAAGTACTTGGACATTAGGATCCCAACTGATCCTCTTAAGGTTTCCATTTTCCTGGAAGATGTTCACCTGTTTGAAGGCCAATCCCTAGAAAATCCCTGGGTAGTAGCTTCAGGCAGAAGGACACCGGGACCAATACATCCTGGTGAGGACAGGAGGCCAAGGACTCTGTGTGTTTTGGGGATCAGTAACCCCACCCCCACCATCCTGTAGACCTAGGTCCAAGACTAATTATTAAGGATATTAATAACATCATAATAATAGTCACTTTCATCTAACCATAAAACAATAAATTAGGTTATTGAAAAGTAATGATCTTAACTGTGGAGAATCCTAAGGAAACCAGAACCGAATTCTGAAGCAATCTTTGTTAGCACATATGGTAAATAAACATTCCTTGTTGGCAGAATCAGTTAGATTCAGTTTGATATTTTGTTGAGAAAGAGGTGATTGATTTTCTTTGACTTTTTCATTTATATTTTTTTCCTTTAGTTACATAAGTGTAGAAATTGACATTTGGTGCTGAGACGCTGTGATGTGTATTTTCCTCCATTAATTCATTTCTTATGTAAATCCTGTGAAATAGATACTGTTTTCACCACCCGAGATTAAAAATGAGGAAAATACAGCTTCAAGGCTAAGCCACTTGCTGAAGAACTCACAAGTAGGAAATGCCAGGGCAGAGCTTGAACCCAGAGAGTCTGCTCCCAAAATTGGGCATCTCCTCACTCCTCAATCATGGATATATTCTAATTTTGAAAGATCCATTTCAGAATTAAACAAAAAATCAAACTGCCCTAGTAAGATTCTGTTAGAGGTTAGCAAGGTTGTAGAGAAAAAGGAATGCTTATATAGTGTTGGTGGGAGTATAAATTAGTTTATTCCTTGTGGAAATCAGTGTGGCAGTTCCTCAAAGAGCTAACAACAGAATTACCATTTGACCCAGAAATCCCATTACTAGGTGTACACCCAAAGGAATATAAAACATTCTACCATAAAGACAAATGCAGGCATAGATTCATTGCAGCTCTATTCACAATAGCAAAGACATGGAACCAATCTAAATATCCATCAATGGAAGAGTGGATAAAGAAAACGTGGTGCATATATACCATGTTATACTACAAAGCCATAAAAAAGAATGAGATCATGTCGTTTCCAGGAACATGGATGGAGCTGGAGACCAATATCCATAGCAAACTCATGCAGGAACAGAAAGCCAAATACTGCATGTTCTCACTTGAAAGTGGGAGCTAAATGATGAGAACACATGGTCACATAGAGCTGAATAGACAGTGGGGCCAACTTGAGTGTGGAGAGCGAAAGAAGAGAGAAAAAATGTTGTTGGGTACTAGGCTTAATACCTGAGTGATGAAATAATCTGTATGACACCCCCCATGATACCAGTTGACCTATGAAACAAACCTGCACATGTACCCCAAACCTAAAATAAGAGTTAAGAAAGAATTCTGTAAGAGGTGACATTGAATTTGTAGAATAATAAAGCATAGTTGACATCTTTGAATTTTTTACTGTTTCTTCCAGGAACCAGGTGTGTGTCTTTATTTATTTAAATTTCCTTTTTATGTTGTGAATAAGATTTCATGACTTTATTATTAGTGGCTTACATATCTCCACTAAGATAGATTTCAACATATTTTTGTTGTTGCTGTTTATATTCTTGTCAAAGAACCATTTTCCATTATGGTATGTAATGGTGTAGCTAGTTTGCAAGAAAGTAATTGATTTCTATATTCTGATCATATATTCAGCTAACTTTATGTACTCATATTCTTTTGAAATTTTTCTAGTAGATTGTCTTAGATTTTCATCAAAGTTGATCAGCTATCTATAATAGTGTACAATTCATTGATTCAGTTTTTTCAATAGGATTTTTTTCTTGTGTGACGAGAATATTTCTATTCAATTTGCATCTTTCTTATTTTTCTAAAGCACAATTTTTTAGAGCACTTTCAGGTTTACAGAATAATTGAGTAGAAAATACAGAGTTCGCATCTAACCCCTTCCCCCACATAGGCACAGCCTTCCTTGTTAGTCATATCCTAACCCAGAGTAATATAAATAATTAATAAACTCACCTTGACAAATTATTTTCATCAAAAGAGCATAGTTTATGTTAAGGTTCACTCTTGCTGTGCTACATTCTGTAAGTTCTGAGATATATGTAATGACCTGTACATACAAACATAGGGCAGGCACCCTATTCAACAAATGGTGCTGGAATAATTGGCAAGCCACCTGCAGGAGAATGAAACTGGATTCTCATCTCTCACCTTATACAAAAATCAACTCAAGGTGGATCAAGGACTTAAATTTCAGACCTGAAACTATAAAAATTCTAAAAGATAACATTGGAAAAACTCTTCTAGACATTAGCTTAGGCAAAGACTTCATGACCAAAAACCCAACAGCAAATGCAACTAAAACAAACATAAATAGGTGAGACTTAATTAAATGAATATGCTTCTGCACAGCAAAAGGAACAGTCATCAGAGTAAACAGACAACCCACAAAATAGGAGAAAATCTCCACAATCTGTACATCCAACAAAGGACCATTATACAGAATCTTCAAGAAATTCAAACAAATTAACAAGAAAAAAACAAACGACCCCATCAAAAAGTGGGCTAAGGACCTGAATAGACAATTCTCAAAAGAAGATACACAAATGGCCAACAAACATATAAAAGTGCTCAACATCACTAATGATCAGGAAAACACAAATCAAAACCACAATACAATACCACCTTACTCCCGCAAGACTGGCCATAATCAAAAAATAATGGATATTGGCATGGATGTGGTGAAAAGAAAACACATCTACACTGCTGGTGGAAATGTAAACTAGTACAACCACTATGGAAAACAGTGTGGTGAGTCCTTAAATAACTAACAGTAAAACTTCCAGCAATCCCACTACTGGGTCTCTGCCCAGAGGAAAAGAAGTCTTATACAAAAAACATACTTGTACTGCATGTTTATAGCAGCACAATTTGTTATTGAAAAAATATGGAACCACCCCAAATGCCTATAAGTCAATGAATGGATAAAGACATTGTGGCATATATATTCAATGGCCATAAAAAGGAATGAATTAATGGCATTTGCAGCAACCTGGATGGAACTGGAGACTATTATTCTAAGTGAAGTCACTCAGGAATGGAAAACGAAACATTGTATGTTCTCACTCGTGAGTGGAAGCTAAGCTATGAGAATGCAAAGGCGTAAGAATGATGTGATGGACATTGGGGACTTTAGGGAAACGGTGGGAGGGAGTGAGGAATAAAAAAACTACAAATTTGGGTCAGTGTATACTACTCGGATGATGGGTGCACCAAAATCTCACAGATCACCGCTAAAGAACTTACTCGTGTATCGAAATATCACCTGTTCCCCTAAAACCTATGAAAGTAAAATTTTTTAAAAAAAATTCATAATCATTTCCCTGCCCTAAAAATCTTCTGTTCAATCCCTTTTTGTGCCCCTGCGTCACTAACCTCTGCCAATCACGGATCTTTGTCTCCATATGTGCTTTTCAGAATGTCATATGGTTGGAATCCTACAGTAGGTCACCTTTTCAAATTGGCTTCTTTCACTTAGTCGTATGCATTTGAGATGCCTTTTTGTCTTTTCATGGCATAATAGCTCATTTCTTGGTAGTGGTGAATCATCTTCCACTGTCTGTCATTTCTTCTTGGTGGTGAATCATCTTTCACTGTCTGTATGTCCCAAAAGTTAATAATCCCTGCACTTATTAAAGGACTTCTCAGTTGCTTCCCAGTTTTGACAATTTTCAATCAAACCACTATGAATATCTGTGTCCACATTTTTGTATACAAATAAAATTGCAACTAATTTACATCAATATCAAGGAGCACACTTACTGGAATTTATGGTGAGAATATGCTCACTTTAGTAAGAAACTGCCATATTATCTTCCAAACGGTTGTACAAGTTTGCATGTATTCAACTATGTTTCCGGTACCTATGCAGTGAACATGGTGGTGATGGAAGGGGCTGAGGGGAAAGGTAGGTCTTGTTTAGACTTGGTTAATGTGCACTTGAAATAAGCCTGGCTGGCTGTCAGACATGCAGTGGGATCAAAGCAGGGTCTCCTTATATCCCTGCTCTCCCATAACCAAAACACAGCCTTCCAGCTTCCTATGCCTGTTGAAGTCAGAATTCACCTGTATCCCTGCACTGATATAAAGAAAAAAAGAAATAATCAGCAAAAGCTCAGAAGGAAACTGAGAATCCCGGGAATATTTCCAGAGGTGCCTGAACTCACCTGGAGCACAGAGCAGAGTTCCCACAGGGCTGCCCTCCTGTGCTCCGCCCCACTCAGGATGCAGGGAGGCATTGGGAGGTGACCCTGATGGATGGCAGCAGCTGTGGGTAGGAGGGGCAGGCTGGGAGCCAGGCCCCATGGCCAGTGCCAGCTGGGCTCCCTAGGTACAAATAGCCCTGGACTCCGCAGCTCCTCAGGCTCCTGGGGTGGAGTCCAAATCACTCATTGTTTGTGAAAGCTGAGCTCACAGCAGAATAAGCCACCATGAGGCTGTCGGTGTGTCTCCTGCTGGTCGTGCTGGCCCTTTGCTGCTACCAGGGTGAGTACATCAGTCATGAGTCCAGCACCAGCCCCTGGGAAGCACCCTGCTCTGAGCGTGACGTCACCTATTCAGGCTGGAGTTGGGATCTGTACAAAACCAAAATTCCGAATCTTTTTCTGTGCTTGTTGAACAAGCCCCTCATAAAGTTCAGAGCTATTTCTTCTACTCCCTAGCACCTAGGAAGTTTTATGGAAAATCCGTGCAGGCAAATGTTCTGCTGCCTGAGCTTCACTCCTGGATGGAATCTGTGTCAGATGATGTCATGTGAGGTCTGGGGTGAATCTGGGCTTGCTACTTCCCAGGCCTTTAACCTTGGGCATAGTGGTCCCCCTCTCTGAGCCTCGTTCTATCACTGGTGGTTAGCGCTTCTGCTTCTTCCAGGAGTGGCTATGGGAATGGAGTAAGAAAGATTAATTCTGTCGAAAGAGTCTAGCTGTGGACAGGGCATGGTGGCTGGTGCCTGTAATCCTAGCAGTTTGGAAGGTCAAAGTAAGCGGATTGCTGGAGCTTAGGAGTTTGAGACTAGCTTGGGCAACATGGTGAAACCCCGGATTTACAAAAAAATATATACAAAAAATCATCCAGGCGTGGTGGCATGCACTAGCAGCTTTAGCTACTTGGGGGACTGAGGTGGGAAGATCACGTGAGCCCAGGAGGTCGAGGCTGCAGTCAGCCGGGATTGAGTACACTGCACTCCAGCCTGGATGGCAAAGGGAGACACTGCCACAAAAAAAAAAAAAAAAAAAAAAAAAAAAAAAAAGAAAGAAAGAGTTTAGCTGTTGATATGAAGTTCTCCCTTTATTGTGTGACCTTGAGGAAGTCACCCCTAGAGGTCTGGAATTGTCATCAGCACAACAAAGTCATGAGAACATTGAACCCAGGGGATCCTGTCTGGCCCAACATCAGGGAACCGTGGGAGAAGAATCGACTTTCCTAACATCAACTATGTTTTTATTCTTGTGCTGCAGCCAATGCCATGGTCTGCCCAGCTCTTCTTTCTGAGATATTGGGCTTCTTATTCATTGACGAACCTGTGTTCAAGTTACAACTTGCCAAATTTAATGCTCCTCCAGAAGCTGTTGCAGCCAAGTTGGAAGTGAAGAAATGCATAGATCAGATGTCCCTCAAGAAACGAGGCCCAATTGAAGTAGCCCTGGTAATTTCTTTCTCCTTTATGTGTCTAGGCTTCTGGTCAGCTGCACAGTGTGAAGTGAGGTCAGCTTGCTGCTCTGTGGAGGATGCAGGTGATGGGGCACCTGTCTTGCTGGTCACCTCTTGAGAAGTTCACTCGGGGCCACAGAGTAGGTGCTACCATTTCACCTGCAGAATTAAACTCAGCTGCACACAGCATCATGCACATTTCTCCTTCTCAGGTCACCTTCCTGGATGTCGTGTCCCCAGAGTGTGCTGAAGACACAGGGAGTGTGCCTGGGCCCAGGCAGGGATGGTGAAGGACCAAGCATGGGTGCCTCCCTGCTGGGAGCTTTTCTGAGACCAAGCTGCTCTCATGCAGTGGACACAGTCACTCTGGAATGGCCTGGGGAGATGGGAGCTTTGAACATGCAGAGGAAGGCAGAGAGGGACCTAGAGCAGGGGGTCCCACAGATGCAGCGCTGGCAGGCTGGCCTTCTCTGCAGCTTCTGCAGAGCCAGGAAGGAGCCCCTCCCGGCTCCTCAGACCACATGCTCCCCTCCTCACCACGAGGCTCTCCTGACCACAGTGGGCCAAGACCCTTGGTGCTCTACCTCCTGCAGTGCCATGGAAGCAGGATGTTCTCACTCTGTCTTTCTCAAGAAATCAGAGGCTTTCCAGGGGCCTCTCAACCTGGCTGCCTTTGGGTTGCTGTCCTGAGGTTTAGCTGCAAATGTCTATGGAAACCACAGGCTCAGGACCGAGAAGTGCCTGGGCCCTGAGGTAGAATTCCCACAAGCGGAGGCTGGAGGTTACTGGAAGCCAGGCTTCCCAGAGGCCATCCCAGCCCTAACCAGCCTCTCAGCTCTGGGTCCCCCATTGCAGGAAACAGGAGACTTCAAGACCTGGGACAGCTCAGACAATGACCTCTGGCTGCTCTGTCCACGCCTCCTCTCTTCCTTCTGTGAGGATCCCAGGCCTCACTCTTGGATCCTTCTAGGGCTATTGCCCTGGTGAGGAAAGGCTGCACCCTCACTGGCATGGGTGCTGTAAGGCCACGAGATCTAGGCTTCAGTTTCCCAAACTGAATTGTTGCCTCTGGCCTTCCAACTGCCTTTGGGGACAGAATTCCACTGGCCTCTTGGATGTTAGCCTGTCATCTCCAGCAGCAGCATGACTGACCCCACCTTCCTTTCTTTTTTGTTTTTCTATTTCAGTTGAAAATCGTGGAAAAATGTAACAAGTGACATGTAAAAACTTTCATCCTGGTTTCCACCATCTTTCTTTTTTTTTTTTTTTTTTTTTT